CCATGCAAAGTCACCAGCCTCACTCTCTCCTCTGGATCCACCTAGGTCCAATGGCAGAATATAAATCAGAACAAATGGAGATATCCCCCTACACACACACACACACTGAATCTAAACTCCTCATCCTGAATTTTCTAAGTACCCTGTCAATTGGCTCCTACTCACCATATTTCAGGACTCATCTTCCAACACTCTCTGGTTCAGACAACCACACAAACTGCTCACTATTCCCTGCACATAGCGCCATATTATCCAATTTGTACAGTAGACTACAAAGGCTTAAATAAATGGTCCATGAACAAAATGTTTGACTGTTTAAAAACCGCTACATAATTAAAAAATAACACAGGTCTCTTCTTGTCCAGGTATCTTTTAAGAAAAGATCAATAAGTAGTTTTAAGTACCTACTATGTACCAGGCACTATGGTAGGCACCAATAATATAAAACAAAAATTGAAACAATTCCTTTCCTAAAGAAGCTTAGATTCTATAGGGGCAGAGGACATGTTCTCGTACAAGTAGATTATACAGTCAAGTCAACAAGCATTGATTAAACACATTAAGTGACAGACGCTGTTCTAAAAGAGTGGGGATAAAAAGAAAGGTCAAACGACAGTTCTGTCCCAGGGAAGCACTAGTACCAGGGGGAATCAAGAAGGCCTTGTGTATGAAGTATCATTTGAGTTGAATTTTGAATGAAACAAAGGTGTCAAACACATGGCCTGTGACTTGAATGTGGCCCACAACACTGAACCAGATTAAAATGGAAATGGGAAATAGTTAACAAAATAAATAATAATACAATAAAATACAGATAATGTTAATGTGATTTTCTAAGCCAACACGCAGCCTGAAGGGATCCTTTCCTAGGTTTTAGGGACCCCCATTTCTACTTGAATTGCCCTGCTCTAAGAGGAAGAGAGGACTGGTATTCCAGAGATGAGAGACAGTCTCACGCAAAAGGTGCAGAGGGACATGAAAAACCTCGTGTGAAGAATGATGAAGCTGGCTTGTCTGGACCATGGTGTATGTGTGAAAGGGAGTGACACATAATAAAAGGCAGGTTACGGGAAGGTCATAAAGGACCCTAAAGCAGAGGAGTTTGTGTTTGCCCTAGAGGTGATGAGAAGTGACTGAAATCTATTTAGTGAGAATCAGATCCTTGATTTAGGAACATCACATTAGCAACTATGTGAAGTATTACTGGAGGAGGAAAAGACTGTGGCCAGAGAGACAAACTAGGTGCCTATTGCACTGGTCCAGGTAAGAGGAGATGATAGTCTGAAATGGGGCGGTGATTGTGAATGTGGAGAGAAGGGGGGAAATGTGAGCAATGATGTGGAAGAAGAAATGAAAGACTTGGCAATTGGTTGGATTTGGAGGTGAGAAGAGGGTAATTTAGGAGCTGGAGATGATTCTGAAGTTGGAAATCTGGGTGACTGAAAGGGTGGTGCTGCCTTCAACAGAAATGGGGAAGTTCCCAAGATATAGTACGAGTACAAAGAAGCAGTTATATCAACTAAGTTTTTCCCTTTATAAAGTGAAAAACGTTAGCACCAAAGGTGAGCCACACTACTCTTCTGTACCTGTGTTATACTGCCTATCCTTGACTGCTATTTTTTGGGAGGAGGGAGCATTTATTAAGCACCTACTATGTGACAGGTGTCATGCGAAGGGTTTTTACAGATATCTCATTTGATCCTCACAACAATCCTGTGAGGTAGATGCTGTTATCATCCTCATTTTACAACTGAGGAAACAGGCAGACAGAGGCTAAATAGTTTGTGGAGAGTCACACAATGAGTAAGTGTTTGAAGCTGGATTTGAACTCAGGGCTTCCTGACTCCAGGTCCATAGTCCTATCTACTGTGCTGCCTGGTTGCCTGGGGCGGGGGATATAATTTCCTGCTGGGTCAATGAGTCCGTCCTCTGCCCTTTGCTCATCCTCATGCTCCTTAGGTTTCCTCATCCACCTTTAAAAGTCATGGACGCCCTGGGAATCCATGTTTGAGGAGGAATTTCATTTGGTTCCTTGGCAGTTTTCCTAGCAAATGGATAATTATGTTGGAATAGTGGGGGGGGGGAACCTACTGAGATTGTTTTTTCTATTATCCATGAAAGGATAGCGCCTTCCCTCATAGGCCTTCCTCCAATTCCATTCATGATATCAAGGATTTAGGGTTAGGAGAGTCCTCTGAGGTCATCTACTCCAACCTCCCCATTTTACAGACAAAACAACTAAGGCACAAAGTCATATACTTCCCAAGAGGCATAGTCAGGATTCAAGCCAAGGTCCTCTCATTCCAGACCCAGATATCTTTCTCTGTATCACACCTTCCTCCTCCCTCTCCTCTCTCTTTCTATTCCCTGCTCCCTTCTGTCTTCCCTTCCATCCCCGTTTGCTCCCTTCCATACTTCATTTTCCATTGCCTGTACCCTCTCTCCCACACTGTACCTTCTATTCTGCTTATTTTTAAATATCTCCGAGGAGAACGATGGCTCCTTCACTTCATGAAACCCAAGAGACAATGCTACCAGCTGTGGCTCATTAGATAGGTTAGAAAAATCAGATATGTGCCTCAAGGGCAAGATGGAATTTTAGTGTTTTCATTTCTCTTTGGTTACAGGGTTATTAAAAGTCAGGGCAGGGAACAAGGGAAATCACAGTGATGACAATAATAGCAAAGTTTTATCCATGCATGAAGAGGGGCACTCCTGACACTTTCAAAAAGGCACACCCATCGACTTAAGTCAGTCTTAGGTACAGATCATGAACCACAGCCATGGCCCTGTTTCCTTGGGACCAAGAACTCACCTGTATTAGGTAGCAGCCTGGCCCAGAAGTATAGACCATGACTGTAAATAACCTTTTCTTTTTGCAAATATGGCTAGATCACATAAGAATTAATCCTTTCTTCTTCCCCTTTATTAACATTGATGTATAAGCAAGAAAGCTAGACTTTGACACTTACTCGATACCTACTATATCGAGGCAATTGGAAGCCAGGTCTAATCTAGAGAAGAATCTTGGATTTAGATTCAGGTTCAAATTTCAACTCTGACATCAATTCTGTGATTATAAGAAATTTACTTCCTTCCTTTCTCAGTGCCTCAGTTTTCTTTTCTGTAAAATGAAGAGAATAATACTTGGTTGTCATGACGACAGTGCTTGGTGACCTTAAAAGAAATTATTATTACCATTATTATTTTTTATCTCCTCCATTAGATGAGAATTCCATAATGGAATTCCCAATGGCTCTTTCTACTTCTACATAGCCCCTTTTGCCTAGGACAGAGTTCTGCATTCAGTATAAAGTGTGGGACTGATTCATAGACCTGAACTTCATGAACAAGTTTTTGCTGATTTTTTTTTTAATGTAAGGAGGTAGGCTGAGAAGACACCTTTCCAATAGTCACTAAAAAGGGCCTGATCTACCTGGCCTGTTCCTGTTGTCACCGAAGCTCATAGACACCTTTCCATGAAGGAAAATGACCACTCATCGAAGGGGTTTTGGGGTGGGAGATGTCTTTTACCTTACTATAAGAAAGAAAAGAGTTTTAGAAAAATTGATCACTAAGCCAGGAGACGTGTGATTCATTGCAAGTAGTCTTCATCTACCTGTAGCAAGAGTGTATCCAGGTAGCTGGAGTGGCTGCCACAGAGTAGAATCTTGAAGAGGATAGGCTTTTTGATGAAGGGGGCCTTTTTTTTGTCTTTATATTCTCAACTAGAAGCAAAGCGCCTTGCACATAGTAGGCATTTGAAAAATGCTTACTGGTTTGGATTAGAGGGGATGCCACACTGGGAACCTTCTGAAATATAAACAAGCTCTCTCCATGACCCAGAGTTAAAGGCCAGACTTTCTGACCACTGACTCTACATTTGGATCCCAAAATACCACCACGGCCTCAATTCCTTTCAAAGCGCCTCTGACTTCAATGCAAATATAAAGTAGCCATGCTGTGGCTTTACGGTTCCAGGCAAGTGGACAAGAACATGCAGAGCTGAAATCAATGGAAAATCCAAATATCCCAATTTATATCTCTTTGCTTCATCCTTCATCCACAAACTTTGACCTGAGCTGCTCACAACAACTGATGTGAGTTTCTTTTCACAGTATTGTGGATTTAAAGCTGGAAGGGACCTCAGGAGGCTATCAAGTTTACAAATAAGGAAACTGAGGCTGAGTGACTTCCCCAGGGTCCCATGGCTAGTAAATGTCTGAGGCGGGATCTAAACTGAGGTCTCTCTGACTCCAAGTCTAGCACTCTATCCACCATGACTCTTAGCCACCTCTTCTCCTTTCTCTGTGTTTAGCCCATCTCTGGGAGAGCCAAGAAAGAGGACAATTGGGGATATTGGATAACCGCCAGTCTGGCTTTGCTGGCCCTGAATGACAAAAATCTGACTCAACACAAATTCAGTGACACATGTTTCAGGGTTCCTAGTCAAGTACTTGAATTAAATCAGTAGAGCTGTGGCAAATGTTTTAACAACTGGCTCTTTTTTAAAAAAAAAAGTCTACCAGACACATTTTTAAGTTTAATCTGCATTATTAATATTTTCAACAAAACAATGAATCAAGCCCTTGATGTGTAGCATTTGCCAATTTCTGAAGTGTAAATGCTCACACTGAAAATTTAACAATCTGCTCTAGAGAGGCTATTCAAACTGGTTCCAGCACATCTCTGAAATTAATCAAAGTGAACATTTTCTCTAAAGTTTACCTGGACCACATTCCCAGCCTGCATTTAGAGAAGTTTTGACAGGTCTCCTCAACTAAATTGCTTTGTCCCAACTCCCATCAAACACACCACCCAGGAGGCACCAGTGTCCAGCGGAGAGGAAGGTGACTGAGAAATTAGTGCCTGGTGCCTGAAGCCTGCCCCAGAACTGGACCAAATGAGGTGCTGACTTCTGTCCCCCCTCTATACTTATTCTGCTCTGGTTGCCAAAGTGTTACTCTGGGCACAGATGTCTAAGTGGGCAGACTTCTTACCTGAATTTCTGAAGTTGGTTGCAATAGCTGGCACTTTCTGGGCAGAGAAGGTGTACCACTTTCTGTTTCCAGTTGTGGAGAGGGGATTGTCTGTCTCCTTTCAAGGAAAGGCGAGAAGGTGTTGTGAAGCCATGAGATGATAGGGAAGGATGAATAAGCGTATGGGGATGGGAGATGGGAGAGAGGGAGGCGGGGAAGGAGTGTGGCTTGCTAAATTAATCTTTTAACTAAGCTTCTTCCTTTCCTCTCTGCTCCTGCTGGCTGCTGCTTTCTCTCCCTTTCTGTCTCCCTCCCTCCTCCTGAAGGAGAAAAACAGTAAGATAGGTAAGAGAGATTCCCAGGGAGCAGGGCTGTGGCCGTGTTTCTTAGTCTGTCTGATTGTCTGGTTCCTGTTCTCCAGAAGAGTCCTGGGAGGTTTGACTCACAGTTTCTCCCTGATGAACTGCTGGCCACATCCCAGCTTGTGATGCTCAGTTACCATGGAGACTCACCTAAGCCTATTTAGCTTTGAGAAGTATAATCCAGGGGGATGGGGAGGAAGAGGCTAACTGAGGCAGGGGCCTGAGAAGACCTGAGACAGAGCAGAAAACAAGGAGGGCAGGGGAGGAGGACAATCTTAGAGCAGTCCCTTCCCTACTGGTGAGACATCTGTTGTCCCCTCAAGCAGTGTTGTTGCTGTTGTTCAATCAGTTGTTTCAGTTGTGTCTGATTCTTTGTGACCTCATTTAGGGTTTCCTTGGCAAAGACACAGGAGTGGTTTGCCATTTCCTCCTCTCCCGCTCATTTTACGTATGAGGAAACTGAGGCAAACAGAATCAAATGACTTGCCCAAGGTTACACAGTGAGTAAGTGTCTGAAGCTGGATATGAACTCAGGAACATTAGTCTTCCTGACTCCAGGTCAGGTACTCTATTCACTGTGCCACCTAGCTACAAAGAGTAGTTTGTAGGTAATAAGGAAAGGTCTACACATGAGGGTTCTTAAGTCTAGGTCTAGATTGCATTCTTTAATTCCTTCTGGCCTCGATCACCACTTACACCAGTCACCCTGAACTCTCACATCCAGTGAGGATGCACCATGAAGGTGCAGCCTACAGCAAGGTTCATACTGACAATACCTCCTTTAGAGTGCTAACCAAATCCATCATTTCCAAGCCCCAACTGTCCCTCCTTATTTAATGGTGACCAGAGTGGGCAGCTAGGTTGGGACAGTGGATAGAGTGCTGGGCCTGGAGTCAGAAAGACTCCTCTTCCTCAGTTCAAATCCAGCCTCAGACACTTACTAGCTATGTGACCCTGGGCAAATCTCTTAACCCTGTTTGCCTCAGTTTCCTCATATGTACAATGAGCTGGAGGAGGAAATGGCAAACCATTCCAGTATCTCTTCCAAGAAAACATCAAAAGGGGTCACAAAGGTTCAGACACAACTGAAATAACAAGAAAAAGGTTACATGTCTCCACTTGTTCCCTCTGAGAGAAGATAAAAATCAATCAGTCAACAAGCACTATCCAAACACTCCCAACAGTTCTACTAGCACAAGTAGAATCAGCAGTTGTGGATTTGAATCATTGCTCTGACGCCTTGGGTAAATCACCTCCCTGAGCCTCATCTGTAAAATGAGGGAATTGCACTAAAAGTTTTTTAGCTTTCTTCCAGCTGTAGATTGATGAAGCTATGATCCTGTGACCTCTCTGTGCCTCCATTTCTTCCTTTGTAAATTGAGGAGGCTGGACTAGATGATCGTTAAGGTCCTGTCCAGAATCTGTGCTCTTGTGAAAGGTATCCTAATCACTTGGTCACAAATTTAAAGCCTCACAAAATTCAGGGGTCTCTAGTCCATCCCCATCCTTTTGCAGTGAGAAAAGTGAGTCCTAGAGGAGAAATAGCTTCTTCACATAGATAGTGATTAAAAGAGTCAGGATTGGAACTCAGATCTAGCACTCTCTGCCGCACATGCTTCTTCCTCACCCTTGGGATAGGTGTGTGGTTGGAAGGTGTATTCACTTGTGTGACTGTGTAGATACTGTTCCCCAACGTAGCCCTGCCCCCTCCCCTACCTCCCACCTCTCCAAATCCAATTCATCTTACAGAGAAAGCACAAGTTCCCTCCTCCTTTACCAAAACCTTTTTGGATTCCTGCCTATGACAATCTCACCCTTATCTGACTTCCTAGGTTGCTTCTTGTCTAGAATAGTCAATTTTGCTAATCACAGAATTATTTTGTAATTGTAGAATTCCAGATCTTAGAGTTACAATGAGGCTCCTGGCATGACACAGTTTAGCACCCTGCTTCCAGACTAGTAAGATATTTTCCCCTCATTTGATACCGGGAGAAACTGAGGCCTAAAACTTGCCCCAAATCCCACAGTAATTGTGGGTACTAAAACCCAAGCCCCCTGCTTCCCAATGCCCTAGGCCTTCCACTATACCTTTGGTATCCAGGATACACAGTCATGTCTTATTTGCCTAACTAAATTGTAATCTCCTTGAAGGAAGGGGCTGAGTCTTTTACTTCTTCAGATCTACTACAAAACTGATTATAGAACTAGGAAAATAATAAATATTCAATAAATACTTGTAGAATTGAATTTTTCAAAAGGCCATGATTCCTAGCCTCAGGGAGTTTACAGTCAGTCTAAAGAAGGCAGGAGGGAGGGTAGAATGGGGACAGAACTGACTCATGTGAAATGAATTATGAATTTTTTTTTTGGAGGCAATCGGGGTTAAGTGACTTGCTCAGGGTCATACAACTAGCAAGTATCTGAGGCAGTATTTAAACCCTCCTGACTCCAAGGCTGGTGCTCTATCCACTCTGTCACCTAGCTGCCCTGAATTATGAACTCTTAAAAGACAATACATTGAGAGCAAAAAAATATTTCTCAGCCACATGAATCTTTAGAAGCTGAATAAGCAAAAAATAAAATAGCAATCAGCGCCGTGGTCTATGTGCTTTGGATGATGACATAATTTTGGCCAACAAGGAGAGGAGAAGAGGTTTGGCCCCACGAGTCCAAGTAAGAATGTTATATGCCAACTGAGACCCCTTTCTACAAAAAAAAAAAAAAAGTAAAAGCTACATTTCTCTAGCATCCTTCATCATGGGCCTGCTTGTTTTTGCTGTTCTTCAGTCACTCAGTTGCTTATAAACTTATTTTACAATAGACATTAGATAATATTGTAACAAACACTAAGTACTGGGTACTACTGATTCTAGACCATGGCTTAAAGGAAAAAAATTCTTTACAAAGGGTGGAGTATATATAACAACGGCTAGAAATTAATGAATCAGAGAACATGAATTAAATGCCTACTGTTTACCAGGCACTGTTTCTAAGTACTGGAGAAATAAAGACAAAGGTAAAAATAAAATCTAGTTAAGGGAGACAATATGCACATATATAGGTATGTAAGGATAAGGATAAAGACTGAACCTATGATTTCATTGGTAATAGGAGCTTCTAGGTGAGGAAACTCCCTCTATCAGTACAGAATTAGATGCCTTCTCTGCAAATTATAGTCTTAGAGAATTAACCTAGAGCTCTGAGAGTTTAAGTAACCTCCTTAGGATCATACAGCTAGTATGTATCAAAAGCAGAATTTGGATCCAGATGTTCTTGGTTTCTAGGCCAGCTTTCTATCCACTATGCTATTATACATCTCATATAAGTATATGAACATGTGCACATATCTAATCTATATCTATCTACATATACACTTACATACACATACATTATGTATAATGTAATTTGAAGGGAGAGGCTCTAGGAACTGGAGAGGAAGAGTCAGGAAAGGCCTCATGTAATGTTTGAGCTGAGCTTTAGAGGAAATTAGAGATTCTGAGAGACAGACCTGAGGAGGGAATGCATTCCAGCCACGGAGGAGAGCCAGTACAAAGACAAGGAGATGGAGATGGAATGTCATGTATGAAGAACAGTAAGAAGGTCAATGTGGGTGGACCCAAAGCATGTATGGAAGGGAATAATCTGTAACAAAACTGGAAAAGTAGGTTAGATCCAGGTGGTAGAAGGCTTTAACTGCCAAACAGAGTAGTTTATAGTTGATTTTGAAGGTAGAAGGGAGGGAGGCAGCCACTGCAGTCTATTGAGCAGGGAGTGATAGGGTTGTATTTGCCCTATAGGAAAATCAGTTTGTGTATAGGTGGTATCCCCTTGGAATCCCCTTGAGGGTAAAGATTGATTTCTTCTTGCTTTGTATCCTTGGCACCTAGGCCTGCACGTAGTAGACTCTTAAGAAATATTTGAATTGAATTGACCTCTGCAGTACATCTTGGCTCCTGGGGGTTGAAGAGGAGGCTTCCATTCTGGAGGGCAACTCCAAACCAGAGTGCCTTCCTCCAGACCTTCATGCATAGTCCTGACCCCAGAGCTCCCAGACAGTGTTGAAGGCTCTAGAAGGGCTCAGTCCCTCCTAGGGACCCAATCAGGAACACTGAACAGGACTCCTTCCCGATACATACACACACACACACACACACACACACACACACACACGCACACACGCACACACACGCACACACACACATCTTTATGGAGGCAGTAGTGCCAGGGATACTGATATGAGGCTATAGAGGGCCTACAGTTATGGCTCCAGGGACACTAAGAAAAACAATCAAATATTCTAACAAAGTTTGGGACCTTATTTGACCCCTAATTCTAGCCTTTAAAATGCTAGGTTTGGTACATAAGACTATGGGGACTCTGGTCAGGCTTCTGTTCTTCTACTATATGACTGTAAGATATTGAGCCTCTCAGTTCCTTCCTTTCCAACAGTGTAACTACCCAGTGATGGCCCTTCCTTCCTTGCCTCCATAGATACTGTGAGTATAAATAAGATCATGTTAATAAAGTGTTTTAAGCTACTAGAAAGAAAGTTTTCACTCCAAGGTAGAGTATGACTCTCTGTCTATGACTCTTTCTGAGAATATAATGGAAACAGGTATAAAAACAATTAAATTCCTGTATTGATTGATTGATTGACTCAATTGACCCCCATATTCCTAAAATGAACTGACTGATGCCAGGAGTCTAGGGGCAAGGCTCCAGAGAGCAATACAAATCTCAACCCTCTCATCTTTCCCGGTCCCCAATTTT